ACTGGTGATGGAAGTAAAGTCCGATGCTGTAAAGAATAATATTGCATAGGAACCTGGAATGTTAGGTCCCTGAATCAAGGTAAATGGGAACTGGTCAAATAAGAGATGGAGAGAGTGAACATTGACATGTTAGGAATCAGTGAATTAAAATGGACTGGGATGGGTGGTTTTAATTCAGATGACCATTATATTTACTACTGTGGGCAGGAATCCCCTAGAAGAAATGAAGTAACCCTCAGAGTCAACAAAAGAGTCCAAAATTCAGTACTTGGGTGCAATCTGAAAAATGACAGAATGATCTCTGTTCATTTCCAAGGCAAACCATTCAATAGCACAGTAATCCAAGTCTATGCCCCAACCACTAATGCTGAAGAAGCTGAAGTTGAGTGGTTCTGTGATGACCTACAAGGTCTTCTGGTATTAACACCTAAAAAGGATGTCCTTTTCATCATAGGGGACTGGAATGCAAAAGTAGGAAGTCAAGAGATTCCCGGAGTAACAGGCAAGTTTCTTCTTAGAGTACAAAATGAAGCAGGGCAAAGGCTAATAGAGTTTTGCCAAGAGAATGCACTGGTCATAGCAAACACCCTCTTCCTACAACACAAGAGAATACTCTACACATGGGCATCACCAAATGGTCAATACCAAAATCAGATTGAATATACTCTTTGCAGCCAAAGATGGAGAAGCTCTATACAGTCAGCAAAAACTGACTGTGGCTCAGATCATGAACTCCTCCTTCATGAATTTAAATTCAGATTTAAATTGAAGAAAGTGGGGAAAACCACTAGACCATTCAGGTATGATTTAAATCAAATCCCTCATGATTATACAGTGGAAGTGACAAGTAGATTCAAGGGATTACATCTCATAGAGTGTCTGAAGAACTATGGATAGAAGTTCATGACATTGTACAGCAGGCAGTGATCAAGACCATCCCCAAGTAAAAGAAATGCAAAAAGTCAAAATGGTTGTCTGAAGAGGCCTTACAAATAGCTGAGAAAAGAAGAGAAGTAAAAGGAAATGGAAGAAAGGAAAGATATGCCCATCTGAATGTAGAGTTCCAAAGAATAACAAGGAGAGATAAGAAAGATTTCCTCAGTGATCAATGCAAAATAGAGGTAAACAACAGAATGGGAAAGACTAGAGATCTCTTTCAGAAAAAATAGAGATACCAAGAGAATATTTCATGCAAAGATGGGCACAATAAATGACAGAAGTGGTATGAACATAAGAGAAGCAGAAGATATTAAGAAGAGGTGGCAAGAATACACAGAAGAACTATACAAAAAAGATCTTAATGACCCATATTACTATGATGATGTGATCACTCACCTAGAGCCAGACATCCTGGAGTCCGAAGTCAAGTGGGCCTTAAGAAGCATCACTACACAAAGCTAGTGGAGGTGATGGAATTCCAGCTGAACTATTACAAGCTATTACAAATAAAAGATGATGCTGTGAAAGTACTGCACTCAATATGCCAGCAAATTTGGAAAACTCAGCAGTGGCCACAGGACTGGAAAAGGTCAGTTTTCATTCCAATCCCAAAGAAAGGCAATGCCAAAGAATGTTCAAACTACTGCACAATTGCCCTCATCTCACACGCTAGCAAAGTAATGCTCAAAATTCTCCAAGACAGGCTTCAATAGTACATGAACTGAGGACTTCGAGATGTTTAAGCTGGATTTAGAAAAGGCAGAGGAACCAGAGATCAAATTGCCAAATCCATAGGATCATAGAAGAAGCAAGAGAGTTCCAGAAAAACATCATTTTCTGCTTTATTGACTACTCCAAGGCCTTTGACTGTGGATCACAACAAACTGTGGAACATTGTTAAAGTGATGGGAATACCAGACCACCTTACCTGTCTCCTGGGAAATCTGTATGCAAGTCAAGATGCAACAGTTAGAACTGGACATGGACTGTTCCAACATGGAACAGATTGGTTCCAAATTGGCAAGGGATATGGCAATAATATATATTGTCACCCTGCTTATTTAACTTATATGCAGAGTATATCATGAGAAATCCTTGGCTGGTTGAAACACAAGCTGGAATCAAGATTCCTGACAGAAATATTAATAACTTCAGATATGTAGATGACACCACTCTTATGGCAAAAAGTGAAGAGGAACTAAAAAGCCTCTTGATGAAAGTGAAAGAAGAGAGTCAAAAAGTTGGCTTAAAACTCAGCATTCAGAAAACTAAAATCATGGCATCCAGTCCCATCACTTCATGGCAAATAGATGGGGAAACAATGGAAACAGTGACAAACTTTATTTTGGGGGGCTCCAAAATCAGTTCAGATGGTAACTGCAGCCATGAAAGTAAAAGATGCTTGCTCCTCGGAAGAAAAGCTATGACAAACCTAGACAGCATATTAAAAAGCAGAGACATTACTTTGCCAACAAAAGTCCACATAGTCAAAGCTATGGTTTTTCCACTAGTCATGTATGGATGTGGGAATAGGACCATGAAGAAAGCTGAGTGCCAAAAAAATTGATGCTTTTGTATTGTGTTGTTGAAAACTCTTGACTGCAAGGAAATCAAACCAGTCAATCCTAAAGGAAATCAGTCCTGAATATTCATTGGAAGGACTAATGCTGAAGCTGAAGTTCCAATACTGGCCACTTGATGTGAAGAACTGTCTCATTGGTAAAGACCCTAATGCTGAGAAAGACTGAAGGCAGGAGGAGAAGGGGATCACAGTTGATGAGATTGTTGGATGGCATCACTGACTCAATGGACATGAGTTTGAATAAGCTCTGGTATTTGTTGATGGACAGGGAAGCCTGGCATGCTGTGGTCAATGGGGTTGCAAAGAGTCAGACATGACTGAGTGACTGAACTGAACTGAACTGAACAGGACATCCCTTATTGGGTTATGAGTATTAATTGGAGTATGTGGCACAGGATTTGGGACACACAGTAATATTCAAGGTAATAGCTATCATTGTGTGAAATGTACTTTTCTAAGCAATTTATATGTTATATAATTCTTACAACAGTCAGATGAGGTTGGTCATATTATTATCATCATTTTAAAGATGAGGAAACTGAGGAACAGAGAACATAAGAGAGTTACCTGACAACAATCAGCTTGGTGATCACAGAGGTGTATTTATTCAAGTTTCCTTCTTGGTAGAATGACACCAAGTGGCACTCATGGCAAGTACTTAGAATTGATAGAATTGGAGTACTCCTCGCTGGTAGAGTGGGTAGACCAGATGGCAATGAGCAGTAACCTTGGTCTGATCATCCTTGGCTTAGCAAATTGTGCCTTTGAAAATCATCCTGGGCATCTTTGTATGGCATTGTCCCCCATACGTTTCTTTATACATTTCTTTCACTTCATACGTGTTTAAAATGGATTCTTATACATGTTTCTGGCCTGTCTCAAGTTGGGGCATGGACGAGTGGTACACCTTTCAGCTTCCCATCCCTCTGACACTAAAACTTGGCATGGCCCCCACACTCTCAGGGATTCTTTTCCTAGTCCTGGGCTTCCAGAGGTTCTGGGTTAGTATGTGGGCCTGACAAGGAGGAGTATTTACCAAAATTCCAGGAAGCCCCTAGGCTGTGGTCTGGAGTCACACTAGTACCTCTGAGCTTTCTTTTTGAGGTTGTAATATTAGAAAATATTTCCAAAGATCTCCTGTTTTTCTTCCTATCTCTTAGACTGAAAACAAAGTGATATGCTCAATAATACCACTTCTAGCTACCCTTCTCTTTGTGCCACTGCCTTTCCTATGTTGTTTGCCTCTGATTGTTTCCAGGAAAATGCAAGAGCCCCCATGTCTAACTTTGACTTGAAACTTCTTGGTGCAGGGCTGAGATCTTAGCAATAGAGTGTCAGGGCTAGGACCTTAGAAATCATCCTCACATACCTCATTTAACAGCTAGAAAAACTTAGACCCAGAGAGAGGAAGGGACTGACCCCCTTCAGTGCCCTTTTGGCCTAGAGACAATATAATATATTGACAAAAATGAGCGCACTTTCTGGAGTTGCAGACTTAGGGTTGCATTGTGGATCTTTGGCTAATTAGCTGGGTGATCATGGCTGATCACTTGACTTCTTTGTCTATCAGACTATACAGATGATAGCAAGACTATCTACCTCCCAGAGCTATTGTGATGCTCAGAAGAGACAGAGTGAAAGTATGTAGCATGATGTCTGACCCCTGTAGGTGCTCAGTAAGTATTAACTCTCCTGAATCATGGAGCCACTGCTCTTTGTCCCCATGGTTTGCCTTGCATTCCACAAGTTCTGAGCATACCTGTGTTAGACTCCTCTGCTGAGGTGTAAACTCTTTAAGAACAGGGCAAGATATGGCTTGGCATCTGGCAAACACCCCTACATATCAGAGTTCCCACAAATAAAAGGCCCTTGGAAACTGTGGAATAGAATTAGCTAAGAGTTAAATGTCTTGGTGGGGCTTTTGGTGTGTGTCTGATTCTACATAGCAAGAAAGATAAACAAGTTATTCAGGCTTTCTGGATATCAGACCAAGGTAGCTATTCTTATCCCTCCTTGTCTTGTTTTACTTGTCTAGGAACCAAAGTGACTTCTCACACCTGCTCAAGCTTTACTCTTCAGGTACAAGAAAGAGTCTTAAAGTCTAGAACTGGGACGAAAGATTGGGATGGAAAGAGAGATTCATAGTTAAAAAAAAAAAAGAGAGGGAGAATATGAGAGAGAGAGAGACAGATAGACATATCAAGGTAGCTGGTGCCTCTGTGGCCAGAGAGCAACTGGTAAAGGACTGTATCAGTCCTGGGTAGTGGGGCTCATTTGACTTCAGGATAAACAAAACTATGGGTCTTTATAACTCATGGAGCCTTTCAGGGACTCCCAGGGGTCCCTCCCTCTATTCCTTCTTCCTCACTAGTCCCTTTCTGTTATTTCCCAGCTTATAGTCAACCCTAGATGTCTCCAGGCAGATGAAGATGCCATGCTTCCTGCCTGGCTGCCTCTTATTATCATATGTCCTTTCCAGGGCGAGGACATCCTAGACAGGAGCTCGGAGCTGATCTACACTGGGGAGATGGCGTGGATCTACCAGCCCTATGGCCGCAACCAGCAGCGAGTCTTCTTCCTGTTTGACCACCAGATGGTCCTCTGCAAGAAGGTAACCCTACCCCTTTCTTCCCTGAGGGAGATGGTCACCTCAGGGAGCACCAGACCCTTCCCCACTGTCATCCCTTGCTCCAAATGAGGTGAGCAACCCTATTAGGGAAGAATACGACAGGAAATCAGCAACAATTCCATATCATGATCACTGGTATGCCTTGACATCACAGGCAGTGCTGTCTTATCGGCTGTGAAACTCTGAAATTCATAAATTTTGTGTTGGTATATTTTTTAGACTTTTCCTTCCTGCTCTTCATGGTGATCTTTCTCACTCTTTTCCACCCAGAGCTGATAGACTACACTGCTGATCTGTACCAGTTCCTAAAAATATTGTAATATTTCTATTCTAGTTTGTGAACAGTGGCTTCCCTGAGCAACTCCTCCCATTTCTTCTCTAATAGCTTTGCCCATCTGGCCCTTACTGCCCTAGGAACCAACACGGGACATCCTAACTTACCCTTACAGGTAGGTACATTTGTAATAGGAAGTTTCCCTGTTCCCCTACCCATTTCCTCTATAAGGTGAGTCACATCCCTATAACTCTCAACTGTGCTCTCCTTTACATTCCCTTCTATTTAATTCATTTGATAAAATGTCTTACTCTTATGATTAACTCAGTATGAGTGTTTGTTTCTTAGTATCTTCTCCTTGGCGGGTAGGAGGGTGGTATATGTTTTCAGCCTGATTCCTCCAGATTGGATACTATTTCCTCTACCTCCTCCCTTAGGATAGGGAGTTCAGATAACTTTTGGCTCCAGGGACTGGTGAAAAGAATTTGGGACCAGGGGAAGTTAAAGAGGAGGGCAAAACCAAAGAATGTTTAGAGTGACTTTAAATTCACCATCCTACCCTTGGCTCTTTCTCCATAATTCACTTCCTTTGTTCTCTTCTTCACCCATAGCAAATACCTTTGCAAGGGAATACTAAGTCATGAAACATTAAACACTATAATGTTTTCTAACCTGGAGAAGGAAATGGCAACCCACTCCAGTATTCTTGCCTGGAGAATTCTATGGACAGAGGAGCCTGGTGGGCTACAGTCCATGGAGTCACAAAGAGTTGGATACGACTGAGTGACTTTTTTTTTTTTTTTTTCCAACCTGGAACAAGAACCACACTGTTTTTTTGTTTTGTATTGGTTTTTTTTTTTTTTCCACTTATTTTTATTAGTTGGAAGATAATTACTTTACTATATTGTAGTAGTTTTTGCCATACATTGCCATGAATCAGCCATGGATTTACATGTGTTCCCCATCCTGAACCCCCCCTCACCTTCCTCCCCATCCCATCCCTCTGGGTCATCCCAGTGCACCAGCCCGGAGCACTTGTCTTATGCATCCAACCTGGACTGGCGATCTGTTTCACACTTGATAATATACATGTTTCGATGCTGTTCTCTCAGATCATCCCACCCTCGCCTTTTCCCATAGAGTCCAAAAGTCTGTTCTATACATCTGCGTCTCTTTTTCTGTCTTTTTTTAAGCTGCTTTTCTCTGTGTATGCCACATCTTATATTAAATCTTTGTTCACTTGCCTTTGATGGTACGGTAAGGGAACAAATTGAGTTTCAAGTCAAACCTCCTCAGTGTTTGGGAATAAGCTTTTAAGTACCAGCTCTGGAACTGTTAGCTGGCTAGTTAATAGAGATAGTTACTGCCTTGGTCTTGACCTGGCCCTGGAAGAGATAATTTTTAGGAATCTGGAACTTGGCTAAACACCTAGCCCTCTTATTATTTACCCCCAACTCTTCCTTAGACTTACATCAAATCAGGAGGCAGATTTTTGAGGATTAATTTAGGTAGCCAAGGAAATTCTCAGCATATCAGCCATGTCACCCATAGGCATCTGCCAATTCTCCCCACTGAGGCATTTTTACACTCCGAACAACCAGTCATGGAGAGACACAGAAAAACAATTAGGAAGCTGGTTTAGTTTAGAGTTGTGTACAGCTCAGACCCTGTTAATCTGGGTACCTGTCTGCCGAGGCTGAGATTACTTTAAGTAAAATGTGAAACTTAGCTCTAGAAAGAGGTAGATATAAGAAACTAAGAGACAGAACCAGGAGCCAGGACACAAAATAGTGATGCAAAGGCTAGGAATAAAGGAAAGGAACAAGATGCACAGTGGGCTTAGTTTATGAGCAAGGGGCAGCAGAAGAATAAAATGGAATGAGAGTCAGCTCCAGGCCAACTAGTATGAGCAAGTGATTAAGGAGAAACCAGAAGTCAAGGCAGGGTTGGGGGTTCAAGCAAGTCAACCTGGCAGGATGGGGGTAGCAGGCAACAAGGATCATGAAAACAAGAAAAACCTTGAAGCTAGCAAAGCTTTCTTCCAATGAGAGCCTTCTTTTTCTAGTAAGAACTGTGGACTTGCCTTCCAGAACAAAGCTAACTCAGACTCTTGAGTATAAAGGGCACTAACTACATACCTGGGCCTTCTTGACTCTGGTTTCTCAGAGCATGAGCAACTACAGCTTGATTTTTCAAAGGCTATTAAAGATATATATGATGCTTGTGTTGAGGCTATGGTTGAGGATTTCTATTTGACACCTAAAATAGGCCTTTCTATTCAGCAAATAGGGAGTAATCTTTTGAGAAATGACCATGAAGCCAAAATAAGATATAGAAAGAGACAAGGTCCTTTGTCTGCTGGGTGGTTGAGAGACCTCTTGTCACTGCTATAAAGACTTGCCTCATGAGTTAAAGCTAGAAGAAATGGACAGAGCCTCTTGAAGGTGAAGATTCCTTTGGCAAAGGAAATCTATAAAGGAAAAGAAGGAGAAGGGCCAGGACTAGAACTGGGCAAGTAAAGCACACACCTTAGGCACAGATTTAAAAATGATGCCCCAGAACACAGTAATCTTTTTACAAGGAAGAAAGGGGACAAGAAAGCTAAGTAATCAAATGTCACTACACTAAGCTTTCTGATGAGTTCATATTTTAAAAGGAAGAGGAAACATGGGGCCCTAGCAAGTGGATAGATAATATGTAATATTTTATATGTGGTAGGGTGTTTAATAGGAGTGACAGAGGTTAGTTTCATGAATCCTAGAATGGGTAAAAGGTTTTAAAGATTCTAAGATAATATCAATGATTTTAAAAGAGCTGTTCAAAGAAAGAAGAAAAAAAGTGATATTCTGTCAGCTCCTTGCTAAGGACAAATAATTTGCTAGTAACAGAGGAACATAAAACTTCTCTGTCAATGGAAAAAGAGCATAAACTTGTTGAGGGGGAATTTAAACCTAAAATATCTGTAGTTGTAAGAAAACATTTCAGTGTTCTGAATTTCATACTGTAATTATTGATCTCCTGCTCTGTGCCAGCCAGCTCTGCCTTCTTTGGGCTTGTGATCTAAAATAATTAAAAAATATATACATCATTGGGCACTGAAATAATCCTGAGATGTCCCCAGCAGAATTGCTGTAGATAAACTCAACAGAATCATGTGTTCCAGGAGATCTATCAAAACACTGTAGATGAGAAAATGTACCAGTTTTCAAAATGTAAAAGATTCTAGAAAATACAGATTGACAATGATGGACTAAGATTCACTGTGTGCCTCTATGATTCTGTTCTAATACCTTTATTTTCATTAACTCAATTTAATCATCACAACAAACATATAAGGTAAGTACTATTATTTTTCCCATTTTAAATATATATAAAGTGAGGTACAGAGAAGTTATATGGTTATGAAGTTGCCTAAAAATTGACAGAAGGTAATGGAACAAAACCCTGAATACATTGTTCAATAAAGTTCTTGGTGAAAATGAAAAATGTATCTTTTATTTTTGCTTAAAAATACAAAGGAACTTGTTAACCAACCCAATATAATTTGCCTAAGGTGATACCATAGCTATTGAGTGATGGAGCCAGGAATTGAATCTAGGAAAGCTAGCTAGACTTTTCATTAGTAATCTCTATGTCATTATTCCCATTGAGCTTATCAGAATTCTATAATAGATTATCAAACAGAGGTAGACATTTAAATGGAGGTACAGTGACAGGGACTCACCATTGGTTTCCTAAGAGCAGATCATGTCACATAAAATCCAGTTTCTATCTTGCCATTAACTAGAGTAGTTGATGAGAAGGTTGCACTAGATAGAAAATATCATGATTTTAGCCTGGTGCTTCAGATTTTCTAAGGTTTCCTTGGAGATAGAAGGAATGTGGAGTGGTAGAAAAAGCATAAAATTTATGGTCAGATTTGGGGCTCCTTAGTTCCAGCACTCTCTAACTACATGATTTCAAACAAATGACTTTTCACTTCCTTCACCTTTACTTTATTGTCTGTAAAATGAAGATAATAGCTACTCTACAGGATTGTGAAGATTAAATGAAATCAGTGCATATAAAATGCCTGATGGTGGGCCTTACACCTAGTAGGTACTTGTTAGTCTTCTCCCAACCCAATAAAGAAATAATCAGCCTTGTAGCTTATGCATGCTCAGAATACTGGAGTGGGTTGCCATTTCCTCGTCCCAGGGATTTTCCCAACTCAGGGATCAAACCTGCATCTCCTGCATTGCAAGCAAATTCTTTACCTACTGAGCCATCAGGTAAGCCCCTCCATCACTAGATGTGCCACAAAGTGAGCTAGATGTTTTCCTGCCAGAGATAGTATAAGAGAGATTGAAAGACCTACCTGATTCCTGAGATAATTTGGCCCAGTTATTATTAATAAGTTCTCATCCAACTCTCAAGGTTCTGTTCATTCCCAAAACATTAAGCTAAAACTTCCCCAACTAGAAGTTGGGATTGTGTACACCACTTAGAACAGCTTGAAAAATGTGTAGCTTATTTCAGAATGTGCATATATGTGTGTGAATATATATATGAAGGTGCTTTCTAAGCATCATTATACTAGGTGGAAAATGACACCAGTGGCTTCTAACTGTGTGATCCCTTCCTTAACTTTTGCTGCTTTCCTCTTTGTCACTTTTGTTTTGAAAAATCTAGATAACCCTTTTTTTACCCATTTATTTTTATTAGTTGG